GCCCGGCCTGGCCCGGCCTTTCCGTGCCCGCCCTGACGCGGCCGCCTTGTGCCCCGCAGGAGGAGCTGACGCCGGGCGTGGTGTACGTGGGGCACCTCCCGCGGGGGCTCTGCGAGCCGCAGATGTACGAGTACTTCGAGCAGTTCGGGACGGTGAAGCGGCTCCGGCTCTCGAGGAGTAAGAAGGTAAAACCCCGGCCCGGCCCCGGGCGCTCGGTCTCCGCCGCTGGCCGGGAGACAGACCCGGGCGCGTCCGAACGTGCCCGTTTGCTCCCTGCTGCTGCCGCCGGGGCCGTGCCTGAGAGCCGACCGCCTTCGGCCGGGCGGTCCCCGCCTCTGAGGCGTCTTCCTCAGGCGCGGGGTGGATGCGCGGAGCGAGCTCCTCCCTCCGGAGCCGTCGGCGGCTCCGTCTGTCGTTGCCCCCCTGCCTGCTGCTCCGCCGTCGGGGAAAACCTCGTTGCAGTCTCGGGCGTGGGCGGAGGGGGGCACCGTGCTTCTCTCAAGACTTCCAAAGCGACTGTCGGGCAGGCGGACAGCGTGCGAGGCGTTGTCTCTGGACTGGACTGCAAATAGGCAGCCTCAGCGACAGTTAACGTAGCCCCTTTTTTCCCCGTAAGTAGATACACTCACATGAGAAGCGTTGCTAGAAGACACTAATTCAAGGTAGAATGTGAAATGTCACGGAAGAGACTCTGTTTTAGCTTTCTTGTTGCTTTGTGCTCAACAAATTTAACTTCTTCTCATTTCTGGATTGATAATCGCATTATAATGTTGCTGTATAAGCTTTGTAACAACAACAGAACAGCAGCAACGCAGAGCAGCTTTTTTTTTAACAAATAGGTATTGGTGAGTGGTTTGTTTCGTATGCAAATGTATAACTGTGAATAATGCCATACCAATTTAGGGCTAAATCTGGTGCGTTTCATGATTTCACTGAAATTTATGAAATTACTCGTGTTTAGCTGAGAAAGGGCTATGACTTCGGAAGCAAAAATAATTTTAATACGGTTCTTCGATTATTGGAGCATTGTTTCAGATTCTTTCTGTCGCTGCTTGCAGACTGGAGCTAGCAAAGGCTACGGATTTATAGAGTTCGAGTCCGATGACGTGGCTAAGATTGTTGCAGACACAATGAACAACTACCTGTTTTCTGAAAGACTGCTGAAGTGTAAGTATAAGTTGAAGGGTAAGTCCTCTAATGTGCAAAGGGAATTCATAGTTACTTTTGTGGGTTTTTTTGGACTGTTTGGAGAATCTTAGGGTTTTTTTACAAAGTTTCATCCCAGAAGGGTTTTCTGTGAGGCTGAGCTTGTCTTCCTTTTCTTCATGTGTAAAGAACATCCTCAGTAGCCTTTTGGTCGCTACTGCTGTTTTTCGTCTAGGCTGATAATGCTGGTTGTGTGATCGCATAACATGAGGTCTCAGGGAGCAGTGGGGTTTGCTGTGGAAGCAGTTCCTTTAACATGGATATTCTTTGTCATTTGTAACTGTTGCAGCTCCTGTCTGTGTAGTTAGACATAAGGGGCTTTTTCGATTAAAAGATTAATTAAATGAGTGAGTTTCTCAGACATGGTAACACTTGCTTTGTAAAGGATTATGAGCTATATATACATCAACTTTTGAAAAACAAGTTTCTCTGTTTTCTGGGTGAAACTGAAAAAGCATTCTTTTCTTCCATCCATCCATTATCAGTTCTCTTACTAATGAGTATTTGGTTGCTTTGAATCCTCTGTATTCATAAAATACCATAATTTTGCTCTGCTGTAGCAGTGGATAATGTTATAATGAGAACCGAATTGCATTATCTGAGTACATTTGGTGAGAAGAGTAGCTCTGCTATAACTTGATGTCATATGTTTATCATACAGGTCAGTTCATATCTCCTGAAAGGGTCCATGAAAACCTCTTCAAAAACAGTGACAAAATATTTCGGAAGCCTTCTCAGCCAGCGGTCAGGCGGTACAATAGGATACGTTCACTTGTTCAGAAGGCAAAGATGACAAAGCGACTGCTGCGAAAGGAGAAACTTTTACGGAAGAGGCTGGCTGAAAAGGGGTTCGATTATGACTTCCCAGGATTTGTAAGTTTGGCATCGTGTCAATGAGTGTTTTATGCACAACATGTTTCTAAGGTTGTGCTAAATACAAGAAAATCGTGTGTTTTGTGTGGAACTGGTAAAAGAGCTAGAGCACCAGGGAGACTTACCTCCTGGAAGTTAGTGTAGTGCTCTTGCTGGATTGTGCTGTATGTATGTGTAGGTGTACTTTTAGAGAGGTAAATAAGTAACAGCAAAGGGAAGATGTTCCTTTTCTTCTGTTAGTGTAAACAGTTGGATATTCTGTGGTTTTCATGTTTGTCTGCAGATCACAGAAGAGTGACAGGGGCTTTGCCCAAGCCCTGTGGGGGGAGGCTTTGGCAGGGTAGGTATTTGAAGGCAGGTCCCAAGACTAGAGCTTCCATCCGTTGACCCTGCCTATGTTAACCAAGCGTGTTGCTTGTTTGCAGAGAGCTTGGGTGAAGTAGTTGAATTTTGAGCAATACTGTGTAACATGGCATTTTTTAAAAATGCACAGTAGCAGCTTTTTTTACATTGCTTTGGGTGTTTTTATTCAAACCAGGTTACCTCTGTGGCACTGTAAGTCATTCTATTAATTCAAACCTAATTGCTGTAGCAAAGATTTTGTAGTTATGAAGCAAAGAAACCTAATAGACCGTTAAGTGACTGTTTGCATCTTCACACAAGGAAGTTTGTAGTGATCCACCTGATCTGTCTTTCTTCCTAGGCTGCACAGGAGCTTTCCATAAAGAGAAGAAAAGTTAAAACATCCAAGAAGTCAAAACTGAACATTTCTTTGAGCAGCCAGGTAAGACCGAACAGTCCTGGTGGTGCCCAGCACCATGCCCCACCATTCACACTGGGGCAGATGTTTCACGTCTGCAGCTGGTTTATTTATGTTAATTTCAATACCCGGAAGGTATTTGCTCGAGAGATTTTTATGCCAAAAGTAGCGCCTTTGAGACAGATTAACACTCTTGAGCAGGGGAGGGTGGTTGGATCCTCTCAGTTCTTTCTCCTGTGGGAGTATTTAGGAGCAAAGGCTTCTGCTCAGCGTGTTGAAACTAGCAGTGCTTGTCCCGAGGTGCGTCCAGGCAGCGATGTATCTGCTGTCAGCTTTTGCGATGCAGCACTAACTGGAGGCTGGAGAAACACAGGGTGCTGGGGACAGTCACCTAAACACCACCTACACCTGTGCTTTAAGCTGGTACAAAATGATCTTGCTGGCATCCTCCTGTTGCTCTGCGCTATGTTATAATACCAGCCTGCTTTGACAAAAAAGAAGTTGAACTGTTAATACAGTCTAGTGCTAGTGCTATCTCTCTCTATTTACATACTATACTGTCCCTCCTCCCTCGTGGTCTCCTGGGATGGTATTCCAGTATTTTGAAAACTAAAGCCAGCTAAAACTAGTAGTAGGATGAAAGGAAAGCTCAGGCCATCAGGGCTGAGATTTGGGGCACTGACAGTCTGAAAAGTCTGTCAGGTATTAACATTTCTGTTTTGTTTTATCACTGTTGTGAGTTTGGTTTGGTTTGTGGGGTTTTTTTTTAATGTTACTGATTTACTCTTGATAATTGGGACAGGGCTGGTTGTGAGCAAGACAGGATAACTCATACATTCAGTCAATTGAGTTCTGAGAACTCACTGAGATAATGAAGCTGGGATGTTTCAGCTCAGTTTTGGGCCTGAGTGTGGCATTTCTGTATGCCAGTCTCAAATACCCTTTTTTTTTTTTTTTTTAACCTGATTCTTCTCCTCTTGGCTTTCTTAGTGCTTTGAGTCAGGAAATACAAAGTTTAGAAAGAAAATGTGCATAATGATGTGTTAGAAAATGTGATTTAATTTACACTTGCCTTTCACATACACTTTTTTGAAGATGACACTTTTGTCTGAAGAAATACTGTCTACAAAAATAGCTAGTTATAACAAGAAAACAATTTTCCCTAACATGGAAGTTCTGAAGGAGAGCTGGGCTGAGGTGCCTTGTGGTGCCACAGAGGCAGTGACAACTTTTCTCTGGCAGATGCTTTGCAATGAATCATGCTTTTCTGATCTCTTCAGGATCCTACTCCAGTCTGTACTCCAACAGTGCTCGAGCGCCGGAAAGCTTCTCAGGTGGATGATGACGCAGAGGACAATGAAATAACTCTCAGACTGCCCCCTGCCAGTGTTAACAATGCTGTGCAGAGACCAAAGAAACATCCAAGAAAAAGACCGAACCTGAAGAAACAGAAATAGGCTTAAAATTTTGATGGCTGTAGCTGTGTTTTTCCTCAACTCAAAAACTGGCAAGGTGGAGCTTCTAGTGGTTCTGCTGCCCTGGCTCAGTTCGTCTTGACTAGACTGTTTCAGCCTTTCCTAGGCAAGGAATCTATTCACAAATC